TGACCAAACAATTAATTATATTCGCCAAAATCGCTGGGCTCATGTCGACAACAAAACATGTATCTAGTTGTCGGAATCTACAACCATCTCAATCATGAAGTCGGTCAATTTGCCGATAATATTAGCCGATGTGTTGATGTGAGACGTCAATTTCGCACAATATTCAACATCCCATAGGGTTAAAGTCTACTGCATACCAATGTTTTTTAACAATATGTTTCTATTTAAATTAATAGGGTTTGAAAAACACTTAGTATGAAGGGTGCTGTACCTTGTTTGGTCTACATTGATTTTGAAGTCAGATATGATAATTCGTATCTGATAAAAATCGAACATCTTGTATGCAGACACAGAAAACGAAGTCAAGGCAAACGTGATCAAAATAAATTTTCTGCACAACAGGTGTCCATTCCAAAAGAGTGAAACCATATGATGTGACATTTTTATTCAATTGTTATACGTCTGACAGCCAGCTGTGCCGGGGGTATTTAAATGTGTTATTTAATTTGTATATGAATTGGAAGTTTTGATTATGGTTTGCGTTTTAGCGAACAATTTAAGACTGATTTCGGGTTTTTTATTTCGTTTCCAGTCCACAAAGCTTATAATGTTTATTTCTTACACATTCAATACCGGTGCTACTCTCAGTGGTAAGGGTTTGCGGAATTCATGATGCGAATTGATGACTTGTTATTCTTTTAGTTTGGTTTACTTATTTATCATTATTGATCAATATAACTGCATTTAATTTATCATTACTGCGTTAAATGTTAACAAATAAAATCATCTTTGTAGTCATTGAAACATGTACACAATGCATTAACATTATGCAAGAAGCATGATATTCACAAAATGAAATAATAATAAAGAAAACAGATAATATCCATCCAATAAAAAACATATGAACATGATATAGGGTAATAGTATTAGACAACTCAACATAAAGTTGAGAAAATCATTATTAAAAGGTTTTTGGAAATGGGGAAATACAAAAGCAAGAGTTTTAAACTATAATAAAATCAGAGACAAACGCAAACCAACAGAATCGACAACTGACATCAATTAGTCTAGAAAGACTAGGGATCATTCTATAATGTCCCAGTCCCACTGGGAGTTTGTGAATCGGCGATGGTTTGCGATACCTTGTGATTTATAGCGATTTATTTTTAGAAAAGGTGGTGCTGTCTCATTAAATTTGAATAGAGATGATTCTGCAAAGGTCCGCTTAATATTAAGTGACAATTCTGCTCACCATGACCAAGATTGGTCGACGACGTATCTATATAAGACCAGCAAGAGTTGGAGAAGAGAATAGCCAGGAAGCGTTATTGGATCTGGAGGAGGTCACTCTCCACAGGGGCAGTTTGAACCAGGTACCAACCCTAAGGGGGGCCAAGATAAAATTGCAGGCACAAATTTCTCTTACCTACCCTACTAGTTGAGCAGCTGGTCATTCTTTGACGTGTTGGCAAGCAAGACAAAATGTTGTGAAAACGCTTATAGCTCGACACTTTTGGTTGAACAACATCTTTAATATGTTTCGAAAACGTTTTGTGTTTACTGGGTCCTAACTGATCACAGATTCAAACTACAAAAGAATTTGCTTAACACTCGAGCTCAATGTGACCAATTAAGCGACGTTTCACAATGCAAAATCGACGACGGCGCGCCATGACAGTCCCATTCGACGTCAGCGACAAAAATATGTCTTAAAATGCAGTAGATGGTACGGCAATACTTAGCCGTTAAGTCGCCGATATAACGATGAAGGGTTATGGGTTAAAAATTGCCACAAACGGTCCGCCCAGATACCGGCAAATATTTGCCGACGTTCTGAATAGCTTTGCAGATGCCTTTGCGTGCAATTTTTGGCGACAAAACGTCGTGAATGCATCTCCACAAATTTCAATACAAGCAATGAAATTTTTCACATACTTGCGAAGCTGTCGGGATTCAATGAGAGGGCTTGTTATGCTTTGCTATCATCGCAGATGCACGCCGAACATTCCGCGTATATCATTGCGAAGCATTGAGATTGTCCACTTTTCCCACCGCCAATGGTTTGCAAACCATCGTAAAGCCCAGTGGGACCGAGGCATAAAATACTGTTTTAAGTTTTGTAGTGCCTCCATTTCTGAACGAAGTCACGTAACAAACTGACAGATTCCATGTCAGCAAAATAAATTCTAAGGAACACAATTGGGCTTAATTCTTATGTTGTTTCAATTACATTAAATGGGCCGATTCGCCATTTTCATGTCAGTTCCCTGACCTGTATCACTAACAGGGAAAATTCGGGTTGCAAAATTCGAAGGTATCATCTCCAAGTATGCCTGGATTGAACCGTGGGCCGAGTTACCGAGCAAGCGATTAACTCATTATGTCACATCCACTCCCACTCTATTATCTGAAGAAATTGAGAAAGATCAACAGACGCCAGCAAATAAGTAGGCCTTATTGGTGTAGTTAGGTAGATAAGCATAGTATATAAATTATTTAGACAGACCAGAAACGACCCCCCGGCTTTTCTCTCTCGGACCGTCAAATATTCCATTCTTCTCCACTTGATCTCACATGTGAAAACTGCATATTTGTAGCATGCAGTAGCCAAGTCAAGATGTGTCAAACCGACAATCCTTTTCGATCGACTACCATACAGATTCCCGTTAATAACCATTTTTTCTGCAACCGAACCATTTTAAAACAGAATAAACAACAAATCAACAGCAAAGTCCCCTGTCGTACAGAAATTCGATCATTTGATCGTGTAGACTAACAGAATAAGACAACAACTGAGACATACAACAAAATCTTTCACCCAAGCAGAGAATTTAAGATCATCTTTGCCTGCATTATCTCCAACCATCTGTTTAACAATTTCAACAAAGCCATGCTTTTTCAGAAAATAATTCTTTACGTGGTGCTAGAACAATTTTTTTTTTAGCTCGAAACCTTCTCAGGCCAGTTAGCAGAAACATTCACTAAAATCTCTAAGCCGTCTATCAACACGATACCATATTGAACTCGGGGCATTGGACAGTAGTATAAGAGTATATAGATAGGGGGCACTTTTTTCCTTAATTATAAAAAGTGCCCCCTATCTATATACTCTTATACTACTCTTTTGGCTGCGGCGCCTGCAAGCCCACCAAACAAACAACCCCACCAGGCACGCAGTTAATAAACCCGGAGCCTATAGGGGTACACGTTTACCAACCCCCAAGCGCCCCAGAGCTATAATATCTTCAAATTAACTCATTTAAAAACAGAATGAGTTTAATTTTAAAACACGAACAACACAAATTCGAATGAGACGGTTTCTTCTCTGCTCTAACATCTCTCATCCCAAAAGTAGCCAACTTTGTCTCAAACAACAAATCCCTCATTTCCTCAGAAGCGCAAGCTCTTGAATCTGTTGCAAAAGCAGGAGTAAATATAAGCGAAGCAGTGAAAAGATCGAGTTGAAAGAATTACAACATATAAGAGAAATGCGAAATAAAAGATTAGAAAACAAAAAAGGCAATGGTTTTAAAATTATTGGATAGATGTGGTCTGTTTTTTATCAACACTTCCTTCCCTTTTTTAAAGCGAGATAACTCTTCTTTGGAATTTTTTTTTATTTCAGACCACAATTAATTTTTGTAAACATAAAGCGTGGACTGGTTATGTATGTTTAATCTATATGTTGAAACAAGAAAGCTAATTTGATGGAATTAGGGCAGTGGAATGTTTTTTTCTATCAATTATTCTTTCTGTAGACGGAAATCATGGGTACAACTGAAAAGGAAATTCAACCATTCAAAATGATCAAACATTGGAAATGTTTCTCCAAATTAAATGTTTCTAAGATGATTGAGTAAGTGTCCATGTTAACCTATAAAGTCAACAAAACCATATTTTTTTTCTTTCTGTGATTAATTCATCTATTACCACCTCCAATTAGGTATTCCCCTTTTTGGTAGTAATTCTACTTATCGAAAAGTATTCGAAAGTCTTGTAGAATAAACAGAAGGGATATTCAACACCTTCATTTTCATGTATTCCCCTTTAAGGTTAATTCTCAGAGCGAAAAAGCATATTCGAAAGTCTCAGAGAATTAACAAAGGGTGTATGAAATTTTATCACTACAGATAAAGAAATTCGTCAGTTTAAAATGATCAAACATTGAAAATCTCTCTCCAAATTTAATGTTTATGAGATGATTGACTGAGAGTCCATATTAAACCTATAAAGTCAACAAAACCATATTTTTCTTACTTGTGTTTTGTCAATACCTTCAATATCAAATACCCCCTTTAAGGTCAATTCTCAGAGCGAAAAGTATATTCGAAAGTCTCAGAATTAACAAAGGGTACATGCAATTTTTATCACTACAGATATGATTATATGATGAGATTAAATAATTTGGAATTCACACAGAATTTTATATCTGTTAGAACTCCAAATATTATGAGATTGGAATTCACACAGAATTTTATATCTGTTAGAACTCCAAATAATATTATGAAAATGATATGATTATATGATGAGATTAAATAATTTGGAATTCACATAGAATTTTATATCTGTTAGAACTCCAAATATTATGAGATTTGAATTAACACAGAATTTTATATCTGTTAGAACTCCAATAGGTCAACATAGAATTCACTAGTAATTCATCTAAGGAACACAAAGAGTCCGACATCTTGAACTGTTAAAAATAAGGAATCTGTAGTGATTTGGAGATGATACATATATAGAGAGACTACATATCACACAAGGAAGTAAATACGTAATTGTTGACTATATAGGTCAACATAGAATTCACTAGTAATTCATCTCAGAAACACAAATTTGAAGAAAGATTCCTTTGTCTGACATCTTGAACTTGGAATAAGTAATAAAAAGATACAGAGCATATTAAAACGCCCTTTATACATTTCAAAATGGCTTCCTTTTTTTTCTCGAAACTTTTACAATAATCCGAAAACAACATATCCAAATTTTTATCTTTAAAAATGGCAGAAAAAAATTATAGATTAGATCCGATCTTTCAATTATATGATCCAATTCGTTATTCGTTTAATAAGAAAAAAGAGGATTACATTATCATATCACCAACCGTCGGCTCTAGGTCTCAACTATATGAAGGGGGTATGGTCACTTTTTTGAGATTAATTCATTATCGAATTGGTTGCTTCTGTCTGATGCGTATTTCAGATGCGATTTCAAAATCAAAGACGGAACTCCTAATGAGAATCGTGTACCACAAACCAACACAACGTTAGAAAACAATTTCTTTCCATCTTTATTTACTGAAATGGTTTTGGAAGCTGGTTCAAATCCCATAGAAACCATTAAACACCCTGGAGAATTTGACACAATGTTCTATATCCCAAAAACTACGATTCAGTCTCCGGCTGGATACCCGATGTTGGCGATGGAAGAGTTTTAAAAGAACCGGTAAGAAATGTTCCAAATGATGCAAATGAAGATATAATGAGAGCTATTGCTCGAAACACAATAGAAAGAGTAGAACGAGCTGGTAATCACGGATTTGAAAAACGAGTACTTCAGTACAATAATGTTGTTGAGAATAATAGGTGGGGTAATTACCTAAATTTGAAATTATATCCATTATTCGGTCTGTTGGAACACAGAAAAGTTTCCATAGGGTTATCATATAAAATTCATCTACAAAGAGAAATCAATGATGATAAGATATTCTTTGGAGAGAATGCTTCAGATGCAAAATTAGAAATATCGAATCTCCAACTTTACATACCCGTAATATTGAATATTCAATTGAAGTAGAAACGAGAATATTCAACTCATTAACGAAAGATATTGAAATAGCATTTCGCAATACAATAGGTAGCATAACTTTAACTGGAGAATCCACTACATGGCCAATCACTAACACTAATAAACCAGCAAGATATTTAATGGTTGGTTTCAAGAACTTACCAGATTCTCAAACGAATAACAATAATATCTTTAGAGTAGCAATGAACCAAACTCAAGATCCTATAATCCGTAAAGTTCAAGTAAGATTAAACATTAAATAATTATCCTAACCAACCTTTAACAATTAATCCAACCACGAAGAATTATAATGAATTGTATAGAAACTATAAAAATATGTGTAAATTATTTGGAAATTCACATCAGTTTGAATATGTAGATTTTGCAATTAATTACCCAATCTTCTGTTTTGATCTATCAGCTCATTAAGAAGATCTTTTCAAAACAGGGGTGAATATAAATACTTATATTGAAAAAACACAAGGAAATGTAACAGGTTATTGTTTATTATTAGAAGAAGCAAAACATTTAATTAAAATATCCGACAGACGAATGATTCGTATAGAATAATCATTTAAATTACCCTCTTAAAAATGAAACCAGAAACTTTAGTAAATAGAAGCTATCGAAACGGAATCACCAACTACAATAACATACAATGGTAAAAGGATTAAAATATCTAAAAATATTATCGATAAATATAAACACTGTAAAGTTAGAGATGATATAGATTTGGAAAGAATTGACAAGAGTGTAAAGGAAGGTGGATTTTTACCTTTTTCACCTTTGATATTTGCTGGTCTGGCCGCGGCAGGAGCGACAGCTGGTGGGGCCGCTGGGATAACACAAGCCATCAACGCCAAGAAAGCAGCTGATGCTGAAAAAAGTGAAAAACGTAGACATAATATGGAAATGGAAAAGATAGCACAAGGTTCGGGAGTAGCAGATATATTAGGGACAGTTAAAGAATTTGTAAATCGATTTAGCGAAGAAACCAAGAAAACTGTTAAAGAGGGATTAAGTAATCTAATAGATAAAATCGACACCGGAGAAATGAAGGTCAAACATAAAGGTAATGCCATAGTTTTTAAAAACAAATGTTCTGGAGAGGGAATCTTTCTTTCAAAGTATAAAGGAGAAGGGGTGATTTTGGTGAACAAAAATATAGAATAAAAAAATGGGAAATAAATTTAATCATAAAGAAATATTTCCTAGTAGCCCAATGCTCATGTGTATATGCGGTAGCTCAGGTTCTGGGAAAACTTATTTGACCTTTAACATGTTGACAACACCAAAACTTTTAGATTTCGATTCATTATATATCTACACAACAATACCAGAGCAATCGTATTATCAATTCCTCAAAGCTTTAGAATATATACCAAAGAAAGACGTTCAAGACATATCTAAATATTATGAAGACAACGATGAGATAGAAGTAAAAGATATCTTAGATACATATATAAAAGAAAAGAATCCATCTTTCAATTCAACGGACATAAAAGTTTTTCTTACGAAAAATGTTAATGATTTAGATTTGTCTAAAATTGATAGTGAGCGAAAGAACTTAATAGTGTTTGACGATTGTGTAGCACAAAGAAATCAAGCTGTTCAACAAGAATTCTTCACGAATGGGAGACATCACAACTGTCACTGCATATATCAATCCCAATCTTTCTACGGTATGGATGCAATGTTCATTCGAAAAAATGCAAATTGTTTTTTATTATTCGAATTGAACGACAAAGATTTATCTCAAATTATTCAGTCAATTAATCACGGAATGGATAGAGATACATTCAAAAAGGATTGTAAAGCACAATGGAGAAACCCAGATGATCATGGATATATATTCGTTAATACTAGAAAACCTGCAGGTGAAAGAGTTATGACAGATATATGTTAATTTTATTTCTTTGAAAATGGGTGATTAAAATAATATTATAAAAAGAAATAGACAATATATCAAAGCTAAGAATAAAATAAAGACCCAAGTTGAAAATAACAGATTACAACAACTTGGATTAACAGAAAATCTACAAACTCTATTTCAACCAATATTAAAAAGTCAAGAAGATATTAAAAAGAGACTCGCGCCTCCCATAGAACCTTCACCCCATAAAGATCTCCAAAACCGATTTAATATGGTGGTTTTATAATTAGGACATTAGATGATATAAAACATTATTTTTCAAATCCAAACCCAGATTTACCAAAGAGCATTACACCAATTGTTGATAACGAAGGGTTATTGTTTAATGGATTTAGAATAAGATTTAGTGCAAATTCACCACAATTCAAAATCGATGCAAAACACTTTATATTTACATTAACAGAAGGATTAATAGATTTAATGATTAGCGGGGATGTTGATATTGCCGATTACAAGGATTTAGTAGAATACTCAGAATCTCTATATACAATAAGAAAGACGGGATCCGAAACAAGAAGATTAAAAGAAGTTGATCAATATATAAGAGCCATTATTAATCAAGATGATGAATATGCTGAAGACAATTCAATCATACAAGAAATAGACGAATTGGAAGAGGAGATAGCTAGAGAAAACAGTGGACAAGGTATAACTTTTTTATCGGATAATAATGAAGAATTGCTAAATAGATTAGAAATAATATTAGCAGCAATGAAGGAAGGTCATCGTTCAGACAGACAATATAATGAGGTAAATTGCATATTAAAAAGATTCCCAGAGAAAGGTATTATAGATAAAAATGATTATAAAAACGTAATTGATAAAATTATCCAATAAAAACAGTCATTGAAAAAATCCCAAATAAAGAACAATTATTCGTCATCACCTCAAATAAATCAGACATTAAATTGTCTCTAGATTATGAGTATGAACTCGATCGCAATGAAGAATATGAATTGGGATTAAAATATTTCTCTGTTTACAATTCCATTAGAAATATCAACTAAAATAATAACCAAATGAAAATATCAACAGATAACGGAGCTACATTCAAAACCATAAGTTTACTACTAGGAAGCTATGAATACTTAGCCATAAACGAATATCTATCTGAATATGGAGGGAGTGCAAATGGTATAAACAATATTGAATTCGAAGGTAATTTGAATCTGAACAAAATAAAATTGATATTGAGAAATAAGAGTCAAGTTGATTTCAACGTAGAAAATTCTTTGAATACTTTATTAGGATTTGATAAGCAAATAAACACGCAATCCACTTTAGCGCCGCATAAAGCTAATATCGAGAATGATATCGACGTCATTAATATTCACTGTAATTTAATAAACGGTGAATTTTTCAATAAACACAAACGTCAGATTATTTACAGTAGTCCAACACTCACTGTACCGATTGGATATAGAATTATAGAGAAACCATTTCAAACAACATATTTACCACTTAATTCGTTCATGATTAAAAATATAAATCTGGAATTCAAAGACGGTAAAAATAGGTTTCGAAAATGAATTCGAAGGTAATTTGAATCTGAACAAAATAAAATTGATATTGAGAAATAAGAGTCAAGTTGATTTCAACGTAGACAATTCTTTGAATACTTTATTAGGATTTGATAAGCAAATAAACACGCAATCCACTTTAGCGCCGCATAAAGCTAATATCGAGAATGATATCGACGTCATTAATATTCACTGTAATTTAATAAACGGTGAATTTGTCAATAAACACAAACGTCAGATTATTTACAGTATTCCGATTCACTCGGAACATTCGGTACATTCACTGTACCGATTGGATATAGAATTATAGAGAAACCATTTCAAACAACATATTTACCACTTAATTCGTTCATGATTAAAAATATAAATCTGGAAATCAAAGACGGTAAAAATAGGTTTTTTGATTTTGGTAACGCAGAAATTGTTATTCAACTTCATTTAAAACAAAAGAACTAAATTTATTGAGTAATTAATCACTCTCTTCTTGGATATATATGTAATCGGAATCATCAAATTCATAGTTTTCATCAAAACTATACTTATCTTTATAACTATAAGGAAACATAAGTCCTTCACTGTTTGGTGGTTTTCTCTTTACAAGATTCAAATAACTTCTAAAAACTTTCTTTTGTTTATCATCATCTTTTGGAATAACTACTCCATTCGTGAAACTCCTTTCCCATCTTTTATTAAATTCATTCGTCACATCATGTCCACTAGCCAACTGAATATAATCTTCTACACTTGTCTTATTATTAAAATAACCCTTAAACGTTTTCTTTTCTTTTAAAACACCATCAGAAGTTAGAATGATATTATATTTGACGTTTGGCGCTAAATATAAACCAAATATGATTCCACCATCACCGTAATCATTCTTGCCTTTACAATATTCATTTTCAGATACCAACCCAGCTCGATTTAATTTATCCCAATTTCTAGATGAAATGTATAAACTATCAGTTTTGTGAAATACTTTCAGTTTCACATTGTGAAATAAATTCCCTTAATACATTACAAATTTCATCCATTTTGTTCGTTTCAAATATTTTTCTATTTGCCGAAAATCTTAGTCCTTTAATAGATCGTCTGATATAATGTCTTATAAAAGGATTAGTGTGTGAATAAACTTTTCTATATTTTCTTTTTTAGTATGTTTCGGAACCATTCTAGCAGTTTCATACCATTCTTCTTCGACCATTTCTTTATCGTAATGATACCAACCCTTAAAAGATAGATTAGATTAGCTGTTAGATTATTGGACATATTTTGGTTTACAACTTCTTTCGTGACTTGGTTATATTTTATCAAACAACTTCCAAGACATAACGTATCTCTTTTTGCATATGGTTCCCATTCGTGTCTTAAAGATTCCCAGTTATCTTTGGTGTATTTTGCAACATTGATATCAATGATCTTTCTCAAATTCATTTGTAGATTAGATGAATTACCCCATGCCGCTAAACTAGATGTTTTATGTTGATATGAACATGTGAAATTAATATGTTGTTAATAATTATTATTGCTTGTTATTTCTTTCTGTCTTCTCCATTTTTTCAGTAAATCTTTGTATGGATTAGTTAAAGGTAAAGATAGAATTCCTCTGGGTGTTTTTAAAGGGCATTGTGTTAGTTTTTTTTTATATTTTTAAGCACGATCCAGTTATCAAAATTGCTACCGTAATGAGAAATTAATATTAATCTCTTTCTATCATATTGACCTAAATATTTCAACATTTGATCTATACAATCTGTACCTACAAATATTTCTACTATATTCATTAGTTTATTATAAAATTCTTCTGGAACATTATCTGTAGGATTTAAATCTGGAAAGAGATTATTTATTCTATCTAACATTTTTTTTAGTTTTTCTAAATTAATTAACGTACACGCTACGTGTATTGCTTTACGCGTTTCACTTTCTGAATATGTTTCACAATCCCAAGCAAATAACCCAGCATCACTTATACTTGAAAACAAGTTTAGTTTCAGAGGTGAAACCTGTGTTACTGCGTTATCGTCTCTACACGTTTTCCATACTTGTTCATAATTATCTTCTATTTCTTTAATACCCAAACTTTTTCTTTTTCTTCTTATAAGACAGAAATGTGAGTTGTGTAAATATAAAACCCAATCTAATTCCTCTTTTACAATTGTGGGGATGCAAATTTCTATTATTATGAGTATAAATTTGAAATAAAATATCACATTTCTTATTGAATTCATTAATTCTAGCAGATGTCATCACTCCTTTTCTATTTGCTTTTGAGAAACCATTGATGAAATTTTGAAATTCATTTGTTAAATCTTTGTTTAAAACATAGTTTACACATTTGATAAAACAGTTACCATCTGATGGTATGTAACAATTTTCACCTATATATTCATTTATTTTTTTTGAGTAGTCCAGTTCCTCTTCCAACTTTTAATTTCTTTAAAATTGAAACTTCCTGTAACGTACCTATCAGAAGGATCAGATTTTTCTTCCATATTTCTAAAGATAGTGTGAAACGTTTTGGCATTAAAACCAAGAAGTTTCATAAATTGTTTGTGCTTTCCATCTTGAAATATCTCTCCATCTATTTCAATTTGTCCTTTAACTGTTAAAAATTTATTGGAAACAGCCTTGATAATATTTGAAATAACACGTTTTCTGTTTTCTATGAATGTTTCATCATCATTAATTTCAATTGATGTATTCATATTTTTTATATATGCTTTTTTAATGATCTATTTTTAAGTATTTTTTTTTACTTTTATTGCAGATATTTCCATCTCAATTTTTTTTAGAATTTCATTGAATTCTTCTAATTTTTCAATGGTTATGTTCTTATCTTTTCTTGATCTTTCGAAAAATATAAATAATTTATGAAGATATGAATTTAAAATTTCTGTTTTCTTTTTATAATGAGATTTTTGTTTTGATGTATAACCTATAGCAATCAACCCACAAGATGAAGTTTGAATAGAGTAATTGTGGCTAATACAGTTGGGACCAGTACTGGAACCATTAATCCACCAGTTACAGCCGTTGCAACTGATGTTCCTACTGTTAGAACTACACTCAGTGTTTTGAAAACAGAATCAACTCTAATCCATCTTTTCTTACATTTGTTATATTGTTCTAGTTTCTTTTTTAACTCGTTTTGTTTGTCTATCATATATTGTTGTCTACTTTTGAGTTCCATTTTTAAGACATTAAATTAAGTGAATTTCTGATAAAGAAAAAGATGGATAATTTTTATCTAAAATATCCATCTCAACTGCTGAGCCATGATAAATTTCTATAGTTTAAAAATAGTAACTTCTACAGTTACTATAGATATTTCTTCTTTCGAATCATTAATCTCAATTTTGGTTTTTTGATATTGATTTATATCACACATCTATAAGTATATATACCACCAACTTTTTCACTTTCAATTATTGATGAAAATATTATAAATTTTATATCTTGTTGTTTTTTTTGAATATCAATTGATATAAAAAAAATTAGCATTAGCATCCTTGTTTCCCCTATATTTGGTGGTTCTGGATTTCTAATAATACTTACTGATGGTGGAGTTTCCGTTTTCAAAATCATATCAAATTCACCAAATGAAAGATGATCTTTATCTGGTATGATTAACATTCTAAACCTATCTATATATTTTCCACTCGTTTTAATTTCATATAAGTGTTTAGCCTTGTTGTTTTCATTGTAAATTTCTAATTCTTTAGTTTCTACATTTTCTGTACCATTGATAAACTGAAGAACTTTACGAGCGTTAAATTGGGGATGAGATGAAAAGTGAGGGTTTTGTCTGAAGAATATTGAAACAACTTTTAACTTTATAGGAAAAGTGATTTCAATTTCAAGTTTTCCTTTGAAAATAAATGAATTATTTTCTTCATTATAAAAAATATATTTATTGTTGCCATAATGTGAAAATTCTCTTATATTTGCTGTAAATCCATATTTTTTATATTCATAATCTCTTGAACTATCAATATTATTTGTAATAGAAGCACGTTTATTACTCATATTTCTAAATGGAAGATTGAAATAATATGATTTTTTATTTTCCTTTAGTTTGTTTTCTAATGTGGATATATTTTTTTCCTTTTCAAAAACTTCATTATTAATAATAGTTATCTGCTCACTATAATCAATATTTTCTATCTGTTGTTTAATATTTGTTAGTTGTTTTTATAATTCAGTTTTAAATTTAGTTTCTAGAGCAGTTGATTCCTGTTGCCATTTGTCTTCATTCATACCTGGTTTAATATTATCTATTAGTTGTTTAAGATCTATTTTTTGCTTTGCTATCTTATCATCTAATTTAGATATTAATGATGTAAAATTTTGTAATTGAGTTTTATCTACTAGATTGTCTAATTGTTGTTTAATAGCATCTATTTCACTATCATTGAGTTTGGTTTCTAATGCGGCTAATTCATCTTCATTCATACCTGGTTTAATATTATCTATTAGTTGTTTCAGATCTATTTTTTGCTTTGCTATCTTAACATCTAATTTAGATATTAATGATTTTAAATTTTCTAATTGAGTTTTATCTACTACATTAAGTAATTGTTGTTTACTAGCATCTATTTCACTATTATCATTGAGTTTGGTTTCTAATTCAGTTAGTTTTTCTTCACTTATACCTGGTTTAATATTATCTATTAGTTGTTTAAGGTTTATTTTTTGTTTTGTTATCTTATCATCTAATTTAGATATTAATGATTTTAAATTTTCTAATTGAGTTTTATCTACTACATTAAGTAATTGTTGTTTAATACCAACTATTTGTTTTTGTATTTCACTATTATCAATAAGTTTAGTTTCTAATGTTGTTAATTTATCTTCACTTATACCTGGATTAATATTGGCTATTAGTTGTTTAAGATCTATTTTTGTTTGTAATCTTATCATCTACATTAGATATTAATGAACTTAAAGGTTGTAATTGAGTTTTATCTACTACATTAAGTCATTGTTCTTCAATAAAACTTTTCAAACTTGTTACCGGTACTTCTTCTTGTAACTTAGTATCATCAATAAAATCTTTATTATTTATTTGTCGTTTGAAGTACCTTTCACATCGCCTGTTCTTTCTTTTAAATGTTCTTTATTTACTTCAATTAAATTTAATTGATCCATTGAATATTTCTTGGGAACAGCATCATAATCTTTTTGTGGTAACTTTAAATTAAGCCCAACGCAGACGAGGAACATTTTTAGCGAACAATCGTAAAAATTTTGTTTCGATCATTTTTTTCACCGTCTGCGGATTACAGAAACACGAACAAAAATGTTCGTGAGAATTGTTCGTGAAATCAAATTCTTTGTTCGCCGTCTGCGTTTACGACGAACATTAGCGCCGAACATTCATCGACGAAAGACCAATCAGCGATCGAAGCCAGATCGCATGACACTCAAAATGGCGACGTCAAGTGAATTCACCAACACAATATTTTGGACTGTGGTGAAGGAGCAGATTTTAGTAGATATGTGGTCGCAATCTGCCTCAATATTGTGTTGAACCCATCTTTGTCAACCCGGAAATATTGCCGATACATTGCTGGTTAGTCAGCCGACAGCTCCTATACAAGGTTGCCGAACACACCCTGATCTTTACGACGTTGAATCCAGGTACTGACCCAAATGCTCCTATTTCGCCGTCTACGTTGGCGTCTTTTTAAAATTAATAAAATAGCTAACGCAATTTTACATTTTCTTCTATGCGTCGCCATTTTGAGGCCATGTGATTTTCCGTGGCACTGGCGTATTGTTCGAGCTAAATGTTCGTCGTCTGCGAAAAACGGAAAACAAATACATTTGTTCGATGTTTTTGTTCGTCAACAGAAATGTTCCTCGTCTGCGTTGGGCTGTTATGGTAAAATTATTCATATCTCAATCACCTTGAAGGGTGTCTCCAATTTGTTCTTCAAAGTAAGGTTTCGTTTGTTTATCCATGCTGTAATGGTAGGTTTTTTAGGTAAAGAACCCAATCCAAATTTATTCGCCATTTTTATTAAGGTAAATTTATTATAATTTCTTCAAATTGTTTTCCTAAACTTAATTGATATAAAACCCAAAGTGAAAGCTGACCACAAAACTTTTGTCCCGGTAATTGAAATTGAAATGTTGAACATTTGATTGGTTTATTAGTTAATTACATTAATTTCATTATCTCTTCAGTTGGTTCTAATCCAAAAGAATCGAAGAAATAAAAGTTATTTAAAGAGTCTTTGTATAAAGCAGAGTGATGAACTCCTTTTTGATCAGAAGTATGTATATTTGTTATCGCATAAAAGTTACCTTTCTTATCCTTGAGATTATTTATTTCATCTCTCATACAATAATAAAACGGTGATATATTTAACTCATTTGCCCATTTCATAAGTTGAAAGTTTGTAGTTGTATCAGTTCCGTATTTATCGAGAAAGATATTCATTTTTAAAAGTCAGTTGTTTTTAGTTCGTTTTGATAAAACCTACCTATGATTTGTTCTTTGTCTTGATCGATTAATTCATATGTTGAGAGGTGCTATTTACTTTATCTACGATAAATATTTCGTTTGTCGAAAAACCAACGTAGCCTTTTTCGAATTTGCTTTTATATTTGAAAATACGAACGCAATCTCCGACTTTAAATTTGAGTTTGATATTTAAATTATTTATTTCATTTTAGTAGTTATGTTGTGCGTTAATTGACTTTATAATATTTGGATTATTTGCGACTTGTGTTGGTGTGACACCTATTACAGATGAATGAATTTTGTTATTGTATTCATCTACAACCTCTGGTAATATTTTAAGCCATTCCGTGAACTTTTTGAATAATTTTCAAGAGTCCTGTTAAATCTATCTATTACTACAGCTTTACCTTCATTATGTGTGCTGTTAATTTCAAATCCTAGAAATTTCATATTTTTATTATAAAATTCGCTTCCTTTATCTACCCATTGAGGTCGTCTGTTGGATTGTTTCATTATTGTTTCAAATGCGTGTTTGACTGATAAACCTGTTTTGTTTTTGAGAGGAATAACCCAAGTATATCTTGTGTATAAATCTATAACGGTTAAACAATGTTTATATCCTCTTTCGACTGGCATATTACTTAAATCGGCTGACCATATTTCATCTTTATCAAACACTTTGACTTTTAAGAAATGGTTTTTTTTTTTCTAAATTCTTTGTGTATTTCATCTGCTATTCCCATACCCATTTTCATCTTTGCTTTCAAGAGTTTAATGATTAATGCTCTTTGTATTTTCTCTTTAAATGTTGGATTTGGAATATTTTCAAGTTCGATTATCATTTGTTTGTCTGCTTCATGTCTGGATGTTATGTCTTTATTTCTGTATAATATATCATGTTTAAGTGCAGCGGCGTCAACTCTACTGATGGGTTCTTCACCTGGTTTGGGTTTATCATTTTTTAATCTAGATCTAACCTTGTACCTGGACCAGTGTAATTATGACCGGGAAGATGTTTTTCTCCGGGGTATTTTGCCCATGGAAATCCAGGAAGAGAACCTAATGATTTTTGAATGTCAGAACCGAAATAAGTTTTAGGAGTTTGAGCAATTATCATTGACATTTTTATCCAATAATTTTAAAACCATTGCCTTTTTATGTTTTCTAATCTTTTATTTCGCATTTCTCTTATATGTTGTAATTCTTTCAACTCGTTTGATCTTTTCACTGCTTCGCTTATATTTACTCCTGCTATTGCAACACATCCAAGAGCTTGCGCTTCCGAGGAAATGAGGGATTTGTTGTTTGAGACAAAGTTGGCTACTTTGGGGATGAGAGATGATAGTGCAGAGAAGAAACCGCCTCCTTCGAATTTGTGTTGTTCGTGTTTTAAAATTAAGCCCATTCTGTTTTTATATTATATAGATAGGGGGCACTTTTTATAATTTAAAAAAAAATCGCTTTTTGACGTTAGGAATTTCGTACGACAGGAGACTTCCCTGTTGATTTGTTGTTTTATTCTGTTTTAAAATGGTTCGGTTGCAGCAAAAATGGTTATTGAAGGGAATCTGTATGGTAGTCGATCGAAAGGGATTGTGGGTTTGACACATCTTGACACAGCTACTGCATGCTACAAATATGCAGTTTTCACATGTGAGATCAAGTGGAGAAGAATGGAATATTTGGCGGTCCGAGAGAGAAAAGCCGGGGGGTCGTTTCTGGTCTGTCTAAATAATTTATATACTATGCTTATCTACCTAACTACACCAATAAGGCCTACTTATTTGCTGGCGTCTGTTGATCTTTCTCAATTTCTTCAGATAATAGAGTGGGAGTGGATGTGACATAATGAGTTAATCGCTTGCTCGGTAACTCGGTCGACGGTTCAATCCAGGCATAGTTAGAGATAATATCTTCGAATTTTGCAACCCGAATTTTCCCTGTTAGTGATACAGGTCAGGGGACTGACATGAAAATGGCGAATCGGCCCATTTAATGTAATTAAACAACATAAGAATTTAGCCCAATTGTGTTCTATATACTCTTACACTACTTAGGACTGAAGTCGATCTTTATCAAAAAGAGTGTTAATGGTTCATGTTGTGTCACTCACAATTGGTAGGAATAAGATGCGAATAGACGAGGTGTGGTATACGATGTGGGATGAAAGATACAGTAAAAAATAGAACAAGTGAACACACGAGGTATGAGTCTGGAGACGATTCGCTTCTGCCATGTTTTACTGTATCGATAATACCGCGGCTTTACATTTCAAGAGTGTCACCAGAATAATCCTAAGCATTTCTAAACAATTTATATAAGGGGGCAAATGCCCCACTGGCGTCGCATCTGCGTATAATACATTATAATCAATAAACATAGTAGTTTATGTTTTATTACTCATAGCTATAATGACATTGGATATTGTATGATTTTTTTTTTATGCAAGATTGAATCTATGGTTTTCTGTGAGGATACACATTACAACTGTGCAATATGTCCTTGTATCTTTCGTTCTATATATTGGGCATTAAACTTTTTTTCCTAGACAGTACTTTCACTAATACTAAATGTATTCTTGTATTTAGTTTTTCACTTAAAATCACAGAGGCTACTGATCCAAAAGTATCCAATATGCTAGTCATAGTTAAATCATACCTCCAAGCTTGATCGGCTCTGGCTCACAACGTACACTACAATTAAATAATAATAATAATAACTTTATTTGGCATCCCATTTAGACAGAAGTCTAATTTTCAATAGGTCCCACTAAACTACAGATTATATACAAGATTACAGAAAGAATAAAACCACAAAAAATAACATAAAACATATATACATTCACAATGTAACATGAATGAGGAAAGAAATATGAAAATGTAACCACTATGTTTCCCCACGAAACTGCGAATTATATATTAAGTTTTTAATAAAAATACCGAAAATTTCATAAAACATATATACATTTACAATGTAACATGGATGTGGTGAAAAATATAAAAAGGTAAACATTGTGTTTCTTAGATGATAAATATGATGGTATAAGTTTTTTAAGTAACAAAATGGTGAGAAAAACAAAAGGACTAGTTATAAATGCTATGGAATCAATTAATCAGTATTATCAGTAAGAACAAACTTTTTCAGTTCTTGTTTAAATGTATATAAAGATGGATTATGTTTTACAGTTTGTGGTAATGAATTCCAAAGTAAAGAAGCTGTATATTGAAATGTTCTCATCATAGCAGTTTTATTACAATTCGGTATGTCTAAAGTTCGGAGTGTTTCTGATTTCAGTGTCATACTGGTTTCCGTTAATTTTGATCTTTCCGTAAATTTATTGTATAAATATTCAGGGTGTCGAGTTCGAAAAATTTTGAATGTCATTATGCCACGATTATATCTAATACGTTGTCAACCAATTTAAAATTTGAATAATGGTGAAGGTGAATCATGATTTTCATCAAATATACTACTTTCAGTGCGTTTTTGTAATTTGTATAAAACGTCTAATTTACTTTTATTGGAATGTGTTTCATGAGATGTCCCAAATAAGTAATTAACTACTCTGTATTTGCGCATAGATTGAATTAAAAATGTCGGTAAATTTGAGCTAATTCATTAATTTGATATCTTGAGAGAACGCTGTTAATTGTTTGTAAACATGAAATATATATCAAGATCGAAAATTAGTCAAAAATAGACATGCAAAAACCCAAAAGGGAGGGAAAAAGAGCATTTCTAAAAATAACACAGACTACATTGGTATGAAATCATGTACATTAAAAGTTTTAGTGGTCTGAGTCCGTAAAGTCCGGTTATTGCCAAAGCAGTTACCTCCCTTATGCCCAAGGTTTTAATACTTGATAATGAAAAAATTGAATATACATCAAAACCACACGTCGGTAGCTATTATTTAAATTTTATTAAACTAAATGAATAAAACGATAGCTTGCCAAGCAAGGTCATATAAACCCACTGACAGCTTTGATTTTAAACACAAATATCTGGCAGTACAGTTAAAGAAGGAAATATTCAACATTCAGTCATACACTTTTTTTGAACTTTTTGGGTTATACTGAATAAATTATTTTATTTTTAAAGAATATTTTATTCACATAGATATGAAAAAGATTGGCGAAAAGGCTTTCGCCTATATAACCTCTTCTTAATACAAAATTTTCATGTACAGTACATAATGTTTAAATAATATAATATATATTATGAATACGTAACGTAAATACAGATATTGCTACATCTACTCTAGATTATCTGGGATCACGGGCAAATACTAATAGGCTGGTGGAGAGCACATGGCCCGTGGAAAAAATTTGGACAGAAATTATGTTTTCATTTCCTGGAGGGACCATGTCTATAGTGTTCCAGGCAAAAACTCTCGCAAAATCTCCCTTGGGGAAACTTCGTGGTGAGCGAGTAACGCCCTCTAGAAATCCCCATTCATTCACATCAAGAGTATCATTGTTTAATGTTCTCCAACGAATAACTTGAAGATGCATTCTGAGGGTATGGAAGTGTGCAGCTCTCTCAGTAGGGGGCAATCGTTCGGGTTATATTATCCTACATAATGTAATCATGGACTGATACTTGAGGAGTGCTGTGAAATTCCCCCCCCCCCCTCCCTCATCTGCACTGGATAGTTCAGAACTGATCACGTCGGTATTTTTATGCATTTCTGGTGACTTCACCGGATGTCTCAAAACTTGTAATTTACCCTGTCCGAATTCGCATGTAGTTCTGAGAGTTTATAAGATTGGCCAGATGTTTTTGAGCTTCGATCTTCTTTCTGAAAATACACCTTTGCCTTCTCTGGTGACCAGCGGTGAATCGAGCTGATGAATATGTCTGTGTCCTCGGCTAGCTAGCATATACAGTTTCCTCCTGGTACGTTCGCTGTTCATGTTGGATGATTTCTTGTTTGCTGCCTCTTCAGAACATCACTGTTTGGAATCTCTTACTAATTATATATATTTGTGTGAACAAATAGGAATTCCACTGAATCAGGACTAAACAGTTTATCCGTCCACTACAATTACTTTCCTAGGCCTTGAAATAGACAGATGCAACTGCGTCTGCCGGTCGACAAATTAATCATTTTAAAATCCAAAGTCGAAACTATGAAGCTGAAACGTCGGGTCCAATTAGTCGATATGCAATCTTTAATTGGCTCTTTAAATTTTGCATGCTCAGTTATGGCTTCTGGCCGGACTTTTCTTCGGCGACTAATTGGCTTAATAATAGGCGTTCGTAAACCGCACCATCACATTCGTTTGAATAAGGAGTCCAGATCGGATTTAAATGCATGGTCTATTTTTTTTTTATCTCATTTCATTGGCAAAGCACTTATCTTACCAAGGATAACTAACCGACGACCCAAGTTTCAGCTTTACAGTGACGCTAGTAACTTAGGCTTCAGCGCCTTTTTAAGAAAATGTCCATAATTGGACGACATACAACATTGCTGTTCGGGAGTTATTTCCAACTGTCCTTGCTTTGGAATTATGGGCCAACATATTGCAGAATAAGAAAATTCTTTTCAATTGTGACAATTTGGCTATTGTTCATATCATAAATAAACAAACGAGTAAAAGCCCAATTATTATGATTTTAGTTCGTAGACTCGTATTGCAGACTTTACGATTCAATATCTCTTTTTCGGCCATCCATGTTCCTGGTATTTCTAATATAAAGGCAGATTATTTGTCTCGTTTACAGGTGCAGGAATTCAAAAATATAGCTCAGGAAATGAATGTCGATCCAATATTGATCCCGGATCATCTATTGACGATTTGAAGACTATAGTCTGTTGGCTTTTGAATCGTTCAGCACTAAAAAATCTTATAAAAATGCTTTTTGATTTTATACTCATATTGTCAATTCGTATTATGTTCATGATGTAAATGATTTTCCTGAGAAAGTGACCTGTTTCATTGCACATTGTTTTTCGAACCGTTTAGCTGTGTCCACAGTCCAGCAATACATTTCAGCGCTGAATTTTTGCCATAAAATGTTAGGGCATTCTGACCTTCGCTCCTTCGTAACCTCAAAGGTGCTCCATGGTTATTATAACATTTCGCCCACTCAACCAGATTAAACGCCTTCCTATAACAAAAAGTATCCTTCATTGCTTAATTCATTTTTACCACACGGTACATCTTCTTACTTTGAATGTTTGATATATCGTGCAATGTTTCTATTGGCTTTTTATGCACTACTGAGAGTTGGTGAAATAACTTCCTCGTGTAATCATTTGCAGGTCACTTTTGTTGTTGACGATAAGTCCAATTCAATTTTGTTGAATATTCAAATGAATAAATATAAGCACAAGCCAAAACATTATATTCCTGTTTTACAGTTAACAGCCGATTTAAATTGTTCAAAATATTGTCCAGTCAATAATCTTTTACAATACTGTCGCAAACCGCAACGTACTTCTGGTCCATTGTTTTCCTTTATGGATGGATCATCTGTGTCTCGTTCATTTCTTACTAATCATTTAGATTTAGCTCTAAAGTTTTGTAATTTACCTACCTCAGTTTATAAGAGTCATAGTTTTCGTAATGGTGCTGCGAGTGAGTTCGCCTCACAGGGCATTCCTCGTGATCAACTCCAACTTTTGGAAGTGACTCTGCTTTTTCTGGCTGGGATGGGGAATATTGGTTCAGGTTGCCCGACGATGTAGTATGATAGATTCATCTCGACCACTGAGCCAATATCGGTGACAGAATTCTCACCCATCCTTTGATATTCATTGTATTCATGTATTATTGTATTGCTGAGGGCAAAGTCCCAGTTTGTTATCGAAATGTCCATTCTTTTTTTTTTTTTGTGGGACTTTGCTACCGCAAAGTCCCAGTTTGTTATCGAAATGTCAATTCTTTTTTTTTTTTTTTTTTTTTCGTTTCGTCCACACCTTCCTGAGCTTAGTCTACAATAGTTGCAGCAACCATTCAACATTCACGAACCTTAGATATAGGCGACGATGTGCATAAATATATTTTGGATCTTTTTTGCAAAACCGGAAGTGCTACAGTTCAACATGTGCAAAACTCGAAAATTGGCTCTAGAAGGCGCATTTATGCGTCGATTTTGCCGGGGTTTTCAATTTTAACATCCGGTGGCTAATGTCGACTAGATAGCACTTGAAAAATTTCGAAATTCGAAACTTTGTCGCAAACTTTTTGCGATCAAATTTTTCGATTTTTTTGCTACTTTTTTGTTTTTGCATCGATTGATCTGAAATTTAAAATGCAAATAGACATCACTTAAGTAAATGATATGATACAGTCAGATTTTTTACGTCATTTCCGGTTTCGAAGTTTGAGTCACTTGAAGTCTAAAATCGAATTTGTCGAATAACTTCCGGTGAAATTTATCAAAATGAACGGAATTTCGTTGATCGATATAAAATAAAAATCTATGGCCGATTTTAAAATAAAATTCCGACCGGAAGTAATACTTTGGCCGCCATTTTGATTTTCCTGAAACTCTTCGATTTTTATTCAGCCAATTTGGAACCGAATTTCAAAGTTTTGGTGTCAAATGAAAGAACATAAAAATTAAGAAAGATCGCAGGAAGCCGATTTTTGAATTTCAATTTTGCTTTTTTGCAATTTGCGATTGAATTTTTTCAATATTTGATGGCGTATATCACGTGACCTTGACCTTTGATGACCTTGACCTTTATAGGGTCAAAGGTCATTGACCTTGGCTATCTTTTGATACTTTGACCTTTGACCCCCAACATGTACTTCCGGTTTTATAGCTATCCGTAAAAAGCCAAATTCGCAACTTTGGACTGCTCTAGCACGTGACCTAATTAACCTAGAGGGTTAATTTTTTCGGTTTCCTAATGTGCTTTTCATGCACTTTACATAGATATAGAACAATTGCTTTTTTAAAGCAAAATTGAAATTGGTGATTTTTTCAAATTTGAGTTTTGTTTTACCATATTTGTGTCTTTTTGATCTTCGTGTATGTATATCTTATGACCTATTCTATGTAGAACCTTGATATTTGGAATACAACTAGACACTTTGAATATGAATTCACCTATGACAAAAAAATTGGGGTGGGCGTGGCACATCCGGGTTGAATTACTAATTGTTTACATTTTGCGGCTGGGGCATAACTCGCATAGGATGCGTTTGTTCAAAAAGNGGACTTTGCACACAATTACCTCATCCTTTTGGCCAGTTTGTGTTAACAGCTCAGTTGTTTCAGCTTTATAGTTCCAAAAAAGGAACGGGTTTTAACATTTGGATATTTTCATTTTTCGATTTTGACCTTTATTGACATTTGTTGACCTATATCTTTTGACCTGAATAATGTAGAAGCTTGAAATTTAAAACACAACGTAACATTTGGAATATCAATTACCCTATGCAAAAAAATTAAGGTGGGCGTGGCACATCCGGGTAATATTACTCATTATTGATATTTTTGGCCAGGAGCATAACTCGCAAAGTATACGTTTGTTCAAAATGGAACTTTGCATACAATTATCTCATGAATTGAGCCACTTTGTCTTAGAAGTTCGGTTGTTTCCGCTTTTTAGTTCAAAAAAAGGAACAGGTTTTGGAAATTCAAAATTTTCAATTTTTGACCTTGACCTTTGATGACCTTGACCTTTATTGGGTCAAAGGTCATTGACATTGTCTATTAGTTTATGCTTTCATATTTGACCTCTGACGTCTACTTTCGCTTTTATAGCTGTCCAAAAACATCCAAATTCGCAACTTTGGACTGCTCTAGCACGTGACCTAATTAACCTAGAGAGTAAATTTTTTCGGTTTCCTAATGTGCTTCTCGTGTACTTTACATAGATATATAACAATCGTTTTTTTCTTAGCAAAATTGAAATTCGGGATTTTTTCAAATTTGAGTTGTTTTTTTTTTTTTGACAATATTTGCGACTTTTTGAGCTTGGTATATGTATATCTTATGATCTATTTGATGTAGAACCTTGATATTTGGAATATAACTAGACACTTTGAATATGAATTCACCCATGACAAAAAAACTTATGTGGGCGTGGCACATCCGGGTGAAATTACTAATTGTTTACATTTTGGAGCTGGGGCATAACTCGCATAGGATGCGTTTGTTCAAAAAGAGACTTTGCACACAATTACCTCATCCTTTTGGCCAGTATGTATTAACAGCTCAGTTGTTTCAGCTTTATAATTTCAAAAAAGGAACGGGTTTTAACATTTGGATATTTTCATTTTTCGATTTTGACCTTTTTTGACTTTTGTTGACCTATATCTTTTGACCTCTATTATGTAAGAACTTGACATTTGGAACATAACGTAACACTTTGAATATTGATTAACTTAATCAAAAAAAATTACTCATTATTGACATTTTTGGCCAGGGGCATAACTCGCAAAGTATACATTTGTTCAAAATGGAAATTTTTACACAATTACCTCATATTTTGAGCCACTTTGTCTTAGAATTTTGGTTGTTTCCGCTTCATAGTTCAAAAAAAGGAACAGGTTTTGGAAATTCAAAATTTTCAATTTTTGACCTTGACCTTTGTTGACCTTGACCTTTGTAGGATCAAACGTCATTGGCATTGGCTAACTATTTATACTTTTATATTTGCTGTCCTAAGTCAACTTTTGGTTTTATAGTCGTTAGCAATTTGAAATTTTAATGGCGTATATCTCTTGATCTTGACCTTTTTAGGCCTTCTCCTTTACAAGATCAAAGGTCATTGACCTTGGATATCTGCTGATACTTTCATTTGTGAGGTCTGACGTCTACTTCCGGTATTAGAATCTTCTAAAAAATAAAAAATTATCAACTTTAGACTTGTTCTTGCGCTTGACCTAATTATCGTCGATGGTTGATTTTTTCGGGGTCTTTAGCAAATTGCTACATTTGCAAAGTCCCACTCTGTGCCACGAGTGGCTCTAGTTTGTTATCGAAATGTCCATTCTTTTTTTTTTTTTCGTTTCGTCCACACCTTCCTGTGCTTAGACTGCAATAGTTGCAGCAACGTTTCAAATTTCATAGACCGTCTATATAGGCGACGATGTGCATAAATATAAATTGGAACATTTTTGCAAAACCGGAAGTGCCACAGTTCAACATGTGAAAAAAGTCGAAAATCGGCTCTAGAAGGCGCATTTTTGCATCGATTTTCTTCGGGTTTTCATTTTTACTATCTACCTGTAATTTCTGACCTGATAGCACTTGAAAAATTACGAAATTCGAAAATTCTTAGCTCACTTTTTTCGATCAAATTTTTCAATTTTTTTGCAACTTTTTTTGCTTTTGCATCGATTGATCTGAAATTTTAGTGACTGAACTTCAAATCTACTTCCGGTTGAATAACTTCGGGTGTAATTTATGTAGGTCAACAAAATTTAACTGATCTTTGGCAAATAAAATTTAATGGCCGATTTTAAAATAAAATCAAGACCGGAAGTGATACTTTGGCCGCCATATTGAAAAAACACACTTTTGTAAAACTCAAAATGGGGCCTCAGGGTAAAGATTGATATGCTCAAATTTGATGTGAATGTATTCTGCAATCGATTGCGAAAAAAACATTGGGAGCCGAATTTTGAATTTCGCTTTTGCTTTTTTGCAACTTCCGGTTAAATTTTTTTCCAACTTGAAACACCCACACCATGTGACCCTGACCTTTGATGACCTTGACCTTCATAGGGTCAAAGGTCATTGACCTTGGCTATCATTTGATACTTTGACCTTTGACTTCCGACATGTACTTCCGGTTTTATAGCTATCCGTAAAAAGCCAAATTCGCAACTTTGGACTGCTCTAGCACGTGACCTAATTAACCTAGAGGGTTAATTTTTTCGGTTTCCTAATGTGCTTCTCATGCACTTTACATAGATATATAACAATCGTTATTTTAAAGCAAAATTGAAATTCGTGATTTTTTCAAATTTGAGTTTTTTTCTTACAATATTTGCGTCTTTTTGAGCTTGGTATATGTATATCTTATGATCTATTTGATGTAGAACCTTGATATTTGGAATACAACTAGACACTTTGAATATGAATTCACCTATGACAAAAAAACTTATGTGGGCGTGGCACATCCGGGTTGAATTACTAATTGTTTACATTTAGAGGCAGGGGCATAACTCGCATAGGATGCGTTTGTTCAAAAAGGGACTTTGCACACAATTACCTCATCCTTTTGGCCAGTTTGTGTTAACAGCTCAGTTGTTTCAGCCTTATAGTTCCAAAAAAGGAACGGGTTTTAACATTTGGATTTTTTCATTTTTCGATTTTGACCTTTGTTGACGTTTGTTGACCTATATCTTTTGACCTATATTATGTAGGAGCTTTACATTTCGAACATAACGTAACATTCTGAATATCAATTAACCTATGCAAAAAAAAATTAAAGTAGGCGTGGCACATCCGGGTAATATTACTCATTATTGACATTTTTCGCCAGGGGGCATAACTCGCAAAGTATACATTTGTTCAAAATGGAACTTTGCATACAATTACCTCATATATTGAGCCACTTTGTCTCAAAAATTCGGTTGTTTCCGCTTCGAAGTTCAAAAAAAGGAACAGGTTT